TGACCTCTCTGAATGTCTCTGCTAGTGAGTATCTTCTAAAGACCATTTTTCTGAAAGTTGTAGTTTCACATAGAGTATCCACACTTCGTGCACAAATGAAGACTGGATGTGCATAATAATGTTGGTAGTAATGTAGTTACCTTATTGCTTCTCAAAAGCAATAGAACCATTGATAGTGTAGTAGAATACAGAATGTGTTGATAGCTTTCTGAATGAAGCTGTGTAGTCTTCCTTGACTAGTTATATCATGTATGCAATGTATTCATTTTATATTCAACGTAAGTATACAATATATATATTTAAAAAACATGAGTTTTGTGTGTAATTTGTGTAATATTACACCATAATGGTACAAAAGAATGTACATTTAGTATTATAAAATATTACTTACAAAAGACAAAGTCTTTATTTATTACTACATAACCATCTTTTACTCCTCAAATTCCAGTTTATCATTATTGGTATTGACTTTTTCAATTTTCAGTGAGGAAATATATTAAGAAGCTAATAGTTGTGAAAGAGGAACACATAAATATTTCTGAGACTAATATTATAGTATTGAACATGATTCTTCAGTTGGATATCTTACAGTTATAAAATAATAACTTTTTCTTAAAGATGTTTGGCAAATATTGCATTATTTTTTAGTGTCACTGATGCAAATAATTATAAGTAATATTGAGGTTATAACATGTTTTATCTTTAATTTTAACATTTTCCATTTCAGTAAGTATTCCAGAGTACGATGAACCAGAGGACAGAAATGGTATGTACAGTTTTCTATCTCCATAACCCTTTCTGTTCATTGTCTCAGATTAAGACATATGCAGAATCACTGAACAATCCCTCAAAATAGGACTCAACTTGATCTGTAGCAGGTGGCACCATGATTGAGTAGGAACATGACTTTCTTGAAGCTTTAAGTGTTATGTTTTTTTCACTTGGTCTTTTTGAAACAGTTCTTTTTTTTTCTTTTCCTTTTTTCATTTTGATATTCTGACTCCTTTTCTCATTTCTAATGCAAGTATTTTTAAAATGCTGTATTACTTTTCTTCATCATAAGTTAATTCATTAACTTTTCTTCTTTGCTTCAGATGACAACAGTGAAAAGGTTAATGACCAGGCGAAACTAATAGTGGGGATTGTAGTCGGTCTTCTGTTGGTTGCCCTGGTTGCAGGTGTTGTCTACTGGCTCTATGTGAAGAAATCAAAGTAAGAATTTATGAAAAACTTGATACTAAATTTTAAAAAATAATCATAAACACAAACATATATTTACCTGTTTTCCTTCCTGCAGCATTCCAGTAGTCTGACAGGGACAAGTTGTTATACTAAGTGCATTTAATAGAGAAAGGAAACTTGACATTTCTGATTGGCATGCCCTAAAGCTCAACAAGATATTTCTCTTGGATAAAGGCAGCTTACTCCAAGACTTTTCATAGTTAGCTGTCTCTAATGAGGTTCTATTTCCTGACAGCCAAATCTGAGCTGATATGGTACCTGTGAGTTAATTGTGGGAAGTCACCTCCTATGTGGCTCAATTGCTACTGGAAATTGTCTACACTTAAAAATTTGGGTAACTCTTCTGCTTTAAAACGCGGACTAAATTGCAGAACAGATCTAGATTATCTAGGTCCTTCCTTCATTCATTCATTCACATATACTTTGAGATCTATAGAAGTAAAAATGGTAAACATAGACCTTTTGTTGCAGAAAAGATAGAAGCCGTCATCCAAATGAGTGTTTTACCAACCTAAGCAAGCACAGGATTTGCCATTGAGGTCTGCTTGGCTTTCAAGTTTTTATATTACCACTCAGGCCCACTTTGAGATCATCCAGTTCATTTTATTAAAGTGTAGCCATTTTTCTCCATAATTTTAAAGATGGCCGTGACTGTGTGCCATTTGGCCTTATCATCATATATGTGTCCCGAGGGAGAACTTAGAACAGGCTTGCTGTCTGGAAGGTTGTTGTTAAGTACTTTTTAAATAGGGAGATTAAAGAAGTTATGCATAATAAAAACAAATCAGCACAAGTATATAAAAAAAAATCTTAAAGTTCTTTTTGTGACTTTTCATTAAAGCTACCTCAAATGAAATCTAAAATGTGTGACAGAAAAGTGACAAAGTGTAACAAAGAATTCTCAATCTACTTTTCTTATAAAATGCAGGGGTTTTTATATTACTTAAGGAATGTTCTCTAGACATAACTAAGTAGTTTTTGGAAGTTCTGCAAATAAACAACTGCTAATTTTGACAGAGCACAAAACCACATTCAGATATTATGGAAGGGTGGGGAAGCAATTTTTTTTTTTCCAAAGGTCATGCTTCTTTTGCTTACTAATTAAGAAGTAATAGTAGAACCATAGAATCATTACAATTGGAAAACTTAAAATCATCTAGTAAAATAACGTTGAGCTCCTCCTCTCGCACTTTGCTACTCTCGTAATAATGTCTAGAATCATTTTCTTTCATCTGTTTTGAATATGAGAATGTGCAGTCATAAAATGATGCAGTGATTGGGTTTTTGCAAGAGGTGGTAGGATACAAGGAGGGCAGAGAAGGTAAAGTATCTTTCTCTGCACCATTTATATATTGTGGTGAGAGCCGATTAGAAACCTAGATTACAGGATGTCATTTGCTGAAATGAGCTTGTGATTTAAGATAGCTTTTTCCTCTTCTAATATAGGATACATTATATTCTAAATGGAATATTCTATATTCTTTTTCCTTTTCCTTGTGCTCAATTTCTCTTATACATGCTTCAAGTAAAATTAGAGCTTGAATTTATTAGAAAGGTTCACCAGGAACAAAAAAATAACAATAAAAAACCTTTATAGTTAAATAATAGTCTTCCTATTTCATACAATGTTGCTGGCTTCTGAAACCCTTAATTGATATATTGTCACTGACAATCCCATGTTCTCAGCATATATTGAAGTTGACCTGTTTTTATCCTCCCTAACTTGTGCATGCCGTACTTGCAAGAGCAAGCTGAGTGTCGGCACCTATTCTCTGACAAATTTTTCAGCATAAATTATAATCTAGAAGTAAAAATACTCCTTGTAAAAAGCACCTTACACCTTCAGTTACAGTCTGTGTCCAATCACAACTGTCCATCCCTGTGCAGGCCAACAGATAGTAGTCACTTATTGAACCCACCCTTGAACAGTAACTCACCTAATCTCTATCCCTAAAGTGACGCCAAAGGAAAGTCTGAGAAGGCAGCAGCACAGAACTTTCCAAGTCTGCCGAGGCAAGAAAAACATTACTTTTGTCATTATGGGTGTTGTGGTTTGCATAATCTTCTATTGTTTTGTCTTCCACGCTAAGTAGAAATTACACTTGTAGCTTTGGAATATATTCACAATAAATCACTTATAGAGTTATTCACTGTCTCAGCTCCACTTGATGCAAAAGCTGATTATTGCCACATATTCTTCTCACTATGAATATTATCCCATGAATCAGGGCCTCATCTGTATTCCATGTCCTGCAACCAGCCCCGTCTCACATTAAGAGCTGAGGCTCCCTATCCCAGCATGCTTTGTCTCTCCTTCATCTGAGCAGAAGGCCAAATGCTTGTTTTCTACAGCTTTGTCCATTTTCCAAAAAGCATATAATGAACTAATTAGCACTGATCAGAGGATATAATATGGCACTGAAGAATCTTACTAAAACTTTTGCTGTATCTTAATTAAGCAGTTCTAGAACACCCATCCTCTGTAAATCCTTTATATACAAAATTTTCATGTTGCCAGAAACTAATGAGAGTTCTGTACACATTAAAGGTTTAGAAAGAAAGCAACATACCCAGCAACCTTTATCCCTGTTCTCCAGGCATGGAAGTGCAGCATGTACATTTAAAATGCAGTGAAAGTATATGCAGCTGGGCAAATTGAAGCACAGCAGCAGTCTTGAAATTGTTCATGCTCAGAGCACAACAAAATATTGAAATTCTCCTTAGATCACAGTAATCAAGAATGTTGCTTGTCTCGCTCTGAAACTGAACACTTGAAGCATAGCAATTCTGCTTTACTGATACTTTATAGGAAATCAGCATATGAAACCAAATGTAGCAGGACAAATATACACGCAACTTGCTGTATGTTTACAACAAGATGCAGCACTTGCATTGTTTTTCATGCAATTGCTTTCCAGAGAAAAGACCAAGTTAAGAACAACTCTGGAAGCGTCAGTTAGCATCACAAAACTTGCATGAAAATGGAATAAATTGAATTTACGAAAATTGCTCCTTTGTTATGTTTTTCTTTTTGCCTTTTTTCCTACAAATAGGCATTTAAAAGTAATTGTAGGAATTAGAAGGCAAAATTGGGGTGAAGGGAAAGAGGTTGCAAATAGTCCAGGTTTAGTGGGGTGAGATCCTCAGCTCCTACAAAATCCTTTTCAGCATTGCAATTCAGTGTCTTAACATGCCTTTCAAATGTGTTGCTGACAGTGAAGTTCATAGCTCTTGCTTCAACACTTAGAACTCCATCTATGTGTGTTTTCTTACCTGTCATTATCACAAGCTTGATAACAAGACAAAGGCACTGCAGATTTTCTTCTTCAGCAGAATTCCAGCTGAGGCTTGGTTGCATGAGATAAAAAGAAATTAGGAGTTAAATTCCAAGGAGATATATATGTGTGTGTGTGTGTGTAACCTATATGCAGAGTGTATTTACAGTAAAGCAAGTAAAACAATGGAGATAGGAAAAAAAAATTCCTTATATTAAGAAAAGCGTTATAAAAAATGTTTAAACAAAATGTGTGAAAATAATGGCCCCTCAACACACACTCAAAAGAAAACTGAAGACCTCATTTTGGCACTACTTACAGAGACATTTTGATTAGCATTCCCTGAGGATAATCATTTTCCTGAAGAGCGAGCATAGATAAATGTAAAATATGAGTCGTGATTTTAGCAAGAGCTTGCAATGATCTGTTTTAAAAACGATTAAAAAAAGAAAAAAAAAAAAAAAAAAAAAAAAACCAGCCAAGAGATATAAGTAAGCTCATATTAATACAACCAGCTTTCACAATACCATAGAATCCTAGAATGGCTTGGGTTGGAAGGGACCTCAAAAGATGATCTGGTTCCAACTCTCCTGCTGGGGGCAGGGTTGCCAACCACTCGATTAGGCTGCCCAGGAACCCATCAAGCCTGGCCTTGAATATCTTCAGGGATTGTGTAACATTGCCAAAGCATACTAAAACAGGGGCTTATCGGATCTGTTCATCGTTTGTGTGAGATGACAGAGTTGCCCATTCCTCTGCTGTTGGCACAGCACTGCCAATGGATCACACTGCTGCAACTCAGTCCAAATTTTGATTCTGTCCCGTAATAATACTATTTAGCACAAAAAATAACAGAAATAGAATTTGTACTGAGGTGGTGAATCTGCCCATATATCAGCATTTGGTGATCAGCAAGATCACCAAGACACTAGAATTGAATTTTGTATGTATTTCAGTCTCAGATGCTGAAAATCTAAATCTGTCTGGCTTTCTGACATGAAAAGCTGCTCTGATTTCAGACAAGCAACGCTCACTGTACTCCACATCAGGATTCTGGGGAACTCTTTCAGAGTCAGAATGCTGCCTTTCACTTCTCCATTCTCACCCCTTTTGGCTGTAGGAAAACAGAGATGGCATTTAGTGAAGGAATACCACGGTTCCATTGAATGCAGAGCTACAGTGAAACACCTGAAAAATAAATCTTGATAGCAACGCAGGACCTACCAGCTGTAGTCATTGATCCATTTTAACCTGATCAAAGAACAGTAATGACACTTACTTCAGTTTCCTGTTGTTAGGCAGATAGGTGTCAGGTCATTTGAGATCCAGTTTGCTTTAGGTCCTATAAAAAAACGTGGATAAGAGGCCAAAAAAAGGCATCATGCTGAGCCATGCCAATAGTCTGTCCATTCCACTCACTTGTCTGCAGCAGCAGCCCCAGTGCCCACATACAGCACTGTGAGAGCAGATGAGCACAGCGCTGCTTCCCCACCTCCAGCTCATATCAGCTCTGGCAGTTGCCCAGATCCAGATTCTTTCAGCTTTTCATCTCTTTCCTTACCATCTCCAGTTCTGTGAAAGACTTCTTTGTGGAAAAGGCTTCTTATCTGTGACAAGACAGATTCTGTGCTCTACCTAAAACAGACAAATTTTTACATTTAAATTTAATTAGAAAAAATAATTTTCCAAATTTTTAAAGGCTTTGTTTATTTGGATATTTTGTTTGTTTGCTTTTTAACTAGGATTAAAGAGATTTGTGAAGGGTTACTATGATCACAGGAGAAGGTCGATCTCTACCAAATCATTGGATTTTCTTCTTCATTACATCTTACATCCTTTCCTTCTATGCACTTATTGTGTTCCAGGCTCTTAGATATCTGAAGAAAGTAGGAAGTTCACAGTACGATAGAAACTTACCACTGTAAAACGTGTTCCTTCAAGTATCAAGTTTGGCATTTTAAAATTAGATTTGCCTGTGACAATCAGTAGTTTGAATCTGTGTATAAGAAGGTTTACAGCAAAACTGGTTCTGCACAGACATCTGCCCTTCTGTCAGTCACACAAGCAGAACAGAGGCAGTCTGAGAACATTAGTAAAAGATAAATGCAACTTGGAAGAATTACAAGTTTGAACCACCTAGGAAGTAACCTACTTCAAAACTTTTCCCATTCAGCATACTCCACGGGGTTTGGGACCCTGAATTGCACGCCCTCTGGCACTGCCCATCATACACTGCTCCCACCAGCAGCTGTCACAGCATTCCCAGGGGTGCTAAGGAGCAGGTGCATTAGCACCTGGTAGAAGCTTGCTGAGATAAGCACTAAATAGTGCTTTATTGACAGTACCTTTCACTGCTCCTTCAGTTCAGGGCATGCACAGTGCTCAGCCCTGGCTTGCAGCCTTTGCTCAGATGGAGGATGTGCACTGAAACACTCCAATAGCAAAAAATTGGAATTGGTGGTTTTGTAAGGTACATACCTGCATGGTGTCAGTGTCCCATGTCACACTCCTTTGCCTACCTACCTGTGTCTTCACTGCATTTTGCAAGTCAGTGTCACTGCAGATCTTTACTCTGAAGCAAGGGTGAGCATATGCATAAATCTGTCACAACAGATGTTACTTTTCTGTAGGGGAAACAAATTATCCTTAGAGAAAATGCCTATACCATAATCTGCTTTGACACGAGGGATTTACTTTGTCCCACTCAAACACATTTGCCCATTTACATTTTAAAAATTGTGGCCTTCAAAATGTTATCACAGCTCTGCAGGAATCTTTCACCTTGGCAGACAGTGAGGCTTCTCACACATTAAATGAATGGCTTAGTGGTTTTATTGTGCTAAGCCAAACTAAGCACTTAACTCATTAATTCATCTCCACCACTCGTATTAAAGACAACCTGCTATTTAAAACGAGGCATACCTCTTTTCTCCCCCTCAAACATTTACACAATCCCTTCTTTACTTAAACCTTGTCAGTCAGAGCCAGCACAGATCTGGAAGACAGAATGTTTTCTTTTTTTGGTGTTGCCTGAATTTTCCTTAAATTTCTTCACAGTTAAAGAGCTGCTGTTTGGCACAGCTTCTGAAAGTCAATTACTACGAGTACACAAAAGATTGCTAGGTTGATCAAGATATCTTAGCCATACTTGTAACATTTTAGTATGCCTTAAAGCAAACTCTTGTTTATTGAAACAAGCTTCACAATTAATTTGTCGAGATACATGAATCTGCACAACCAATTCAACCATTCTTGCTAGCTCAGAATAATTCTGCATTTCCCAAGATACAGAACACACAAGCATGGCTTCAGTGGGGAAACTGGTGCTATTGGTCCATTTACAATCATATGCAAGCCTATTGCTCTGCTCCGAACAGAACTGTAAGAGGGGGGAGCAGCATCGTTAATGTGTGTATGGAACAAAGTACTGTAAAAGTGCAAAAATGACCCTAATTTTTCATTCTAGGACAGCATCAAAACATGTAGACAAAGATCTCGGAAATATAGAAGAAAATAAAAAACTAGAAGAAAACAATCATAAATCTGAGACTTAAGAGACAAAATGTGTCAGTCATCATTCCAGGTAGGTGTTTCATACTGCAAAATTTAACATCTGGCCACCTCTTCTCTCTCTCTCTCGCAATCCATGTCTAACAATCACAGGATTAGCTCGGGTCTCTGTTGCTTACCCTTTGGGCATAGGAAGTAGAGTGGTTTTGGACTCTGGTGATATGAAGACAGACAGACTCAAGTCCCCAGCCAGTTACAAGTTCTAACCTGCATAGACACACATTGAAGAAATAAGTTATAAGTTAGATATAAGTTAGTACTTGGCTTTTTGGCTTTTTTTTTTTTTTTTTTTTTAATTGTGCACTTGGGGAATTGAAAAAACTAATTGTATAATATACCACTGTGGTGTATACCTACCTGTGCATTTCTGTGGTAGAAGGTGTGTAGGTAACATTTAGAAGGTTTTGAGTTGTGGCTTTAAATGCTCACAGGAACACTCTTGCATTACTGGAAGCAGTATTTCTTGATGGGCTTTATTCATCAGTGCTGCAAAAGGCACAAACCTTTTCTAAGAATAAAATCATTCTTTTATTCAGGACCTCACAAAGTGGTATGATTTTCCATGTGCTCTTGGGAAGAGATACTGTATGTTAAGCTAGTAAAAGTGCAACAGGTATACAAGCTTGCCCAGCTGGGATCTGTGTAAAATAAAGTGTGCAAAAATAAACAGACACAGAAGTTCTGTCTGGAGTTACTGGGCACTATGAAGCACCAACAGCACCACCCAGTGCCTGCACGTCTATACACCACTGCTGCATACCCACATGCCATATCTTGCTACTTGGTACTCAAAGTGAGAGTTCAGAACATTTTTCTGAGCAACACAAGTAATTTTAGATTAACTTTGTGGTAGGTCACCATGCTCAGTTTTCTTGAATTAATCATCAGCTGATCGTTAAAAGGGGAGTAGTACATGTTCAGCAGCACAGTGTTTGGAGTTCCTCGATGGAAAAGCAGTGGATGGCCCTGAGTAACTAAATAGCACTGGATACCTGTTCTGGGCTGCAGGACTTTAAAGCATATGGTGGGATGATCACATTTCTCATTTGCATAAGAATACAGCTCTGATTATGGATCATTTCACTACGTTAGTACTGTCTGAAATTTAAAAATAAACCTCATTATTTTTGTACTAAAGAAGAATGATTATAGAGTATATGAAGAGATGCAGTATTCCCGTGTGCCCTTTTGTTGGAGTTTCCTTGGGATTGGGAATTTCCAAATAGTACCTTATGAGTGACTTAAAAGTCTTAAAAGTGAAAACTAAATTTGGATTTTGAAAAAGTCACAGTGTACATACATTCCTACAGGAAAATTCTGCCATCTCCTCAGCTGGGGGTCATTCTGCATTTGTTTGTTTTTCTGGACTTTGTACTTTCCACGGCATTGCAATATTGAGGGGATTGGGTGGAGACGAAATTGCTGAAGGTGTTTATTGGCCGTAGCAGTTCAAATTAGCATCACAAGCCTTCAGTGCCATCTTTTACTACAATTTTTTATATTGTTGGGTCAGTAGTCCTGCATCAATTAAAGCTTATCCGTAAGTACATTACCTACCAGATAGACTTTGCTTTAGGAACTACATTGCAACAGCTGCTATCATGAAGGAAAGTGTTCTTTTAAACTGGGAGAAGAAAGTATTCTATAGATTCTATAATCATAGAGTCGCAAGATTGGAAACGACCTGCAAGATCATCTAGTCCAACCCTCCTCTCGTTACCTTTGCTACCACAAGCACTAAACCATATTTCATAGCTCCTCATCCAGACGCCTCTTGAACACTGCCAGGGATGGCAACTTCATCACCTCCCTGGGCAGCCATTCCAGTGCCTGACCACTCTCTGAGAGAAAAAGTTCTTCCTTATGTCTAAACTAAACCTCCTCTGGCACAACTTGTGGACATTTCCTCTGGTCCTGTTTGTTGCCTGGGAGAAGAGGTCAAACCCTTCCTCATCACAGCCTCCCTTCAGGAAGTTGTAGAGTGCAATGAGGTCTCCCCTGAGCCTCCTCCAGACTAAATAATCCCAGCTCCCTCAGCTGCACCTTGTAAAACTTGTGCTCCAGACCCCTCACCAGTTTCGTTGCCCTTCTCTGCACTCGTTCCAGGGCCTCAGTGTCTTTCTTGTAGAGGGGCCCAAAACTGAACACGTACTCAAGATACAGCCTTACCAGTGCTGAGTACAGAGAGATGATCACCTCCCTGCTCCTGCTGGCCACGCTATTTCTAATGCAGGCCAGGATGCCGTTGGCCCTCTTTGCCACCTGGGCACACTGTCAGCTCATGCTCAACTGAGCATCAGCCAACAGCCCCAGGTCCCTTTCCTCTTCACAGTCATCCAGCCACTCATCCCCAAGCCAACAGTGCTGCATGGGGTTGTGCCCAAAGTGCAGGACCCAGCACTTGGCCTTGTTGAACCTCATCCCATTCACCTCAGCCCAGCAATCCAGCTTATTTTGATCCCTCTGAATGGCCTCCCTACACTCAGGCAGATCGACACCACCTCCCAACTTGGTGTCATCTACAAACTTACTGAGGGTGTACTCAATCCCTTCATCTAGGTCATCAATAAAGATATTAAACAAGATGGGAAGTACTGCTAATTAGCTTTTTGTTTGGGGGTCAGAATGCTGAGCAGACTATGTTGATTAACATGTTTAAATCTAAACCTGCTTAACTGCCTTTATCTTTCGTGTTTTCAGAGAATACATATAGACCAATTGAAGCATGAACGTGGATTGTATTTAAACGTATACAAAGAAGTGACAGCTATTCATGGTTCAAGTATTAAACAGATCATACTACCAAGTTTTCAGCGGATTTTAGACACAATTATCTCAAGCTAAAACAAACAAACAAACAAACAACAACAAATAAAACAACAACAAAAAAAATCCAACCCACAGAATAACTAATTTTGGCAACAGCCATGATAATAGGTCACCATGTTGTGTTCTGTTTAAACTATTTTTTTGTAAATGTCTGCACTGAAGATTTCTTTTTGTTTGCCTTTATGTAAATTTTTTACGTAGCTATTTTTATACACTGTAAGGCTTTGTTCTGGGAGTTGCTGTTATTCTGATGTATAGTGTAATGGTTTGATTTCAATTGTTTTTATGGCACCCTTTGGGCAGGTACATGTCTAATTCTGATTGTTATCAGTGAAACCTCTGCTTTGTAGCAAATACCTAAAGCGTAAGATTGTCTTAAAGGAAAACATTGATCTCCTTTTTCATTTTTTAGAAGTCACAGTAAAGAGGAGAGGTGACAGTTGTAACAAAAATAAGCCGAATTGTTAATAACAGTGAGAATTTAAGAAAGCCGAGGGAAAGCGAACAGCCAGAAAGGGAATAAAGAATTTCAATGGAAAAGGCTGGGGGCTGAGCAAGGAACACAGTGAAACACTCATAGCCTACATGCAGATGGTGGCCTGTGGTCCTTTCCTTCTAAAGCAAGGCGTACGTTTTACTCATGCATTGCCTGTTGTCCTTCGTGTTAAAATTAGGATAAGGAACTGGATTTCTGGTTTGATTTTGATTCCTTTACGTTATCCGCTGCCTTAAAGTACTGTACCTTTTCTTCATTTCAAAGAGATATCAGTCAGAATTGGAGATTTTTTAAAAAAAGTGGTCATATCAAAGCTGCATTTTTTTCCACAAAAATAGAATATATATATTTTTTGTGTGTTTTGTTAACTATGCTACAGATATTGAATGCACCTTGAGATAATTTTAGTGTTTTTAACTGGTACCTAATTTATCAAACAGTACATATAATTGTAACAATGAAATGTCTATGTATCTTTAGTTACATTCAAGTTTGTAACTTTATAAACATGTTTTAAGCTTGAGGAAATTTTTAGAATGGTACTGATAAGAAAATGGTTTAGGGTGAATGGCTGATAGAGAATTGTTGTTAAGGGAGAGGGAAGTTTCATTCTGCGCGGATGGATCGTTTTGGGAAGAAAGTGATAGGTGGATTGATGGAGAGGAACAGCAAAGCACGCAGAACATCAGGTTTCCTTTTACAAATATCCAGGGAAAAAAGTATGTTTTTATAGACTGGTAGGCAAAAAAGAATATAAATAAATAAATAAAAGAAAGAGATGGACGTTAGGAAATGTATTTTGCCACTTTTGCATTATTTAGGGGGGAAGAAAACACTGTTACTTGTAAATTTGTAAAATGTTATATGTCTGGGCAGTAGTGACTGATGTCTTAATAAAAGCTTCCTGTAGTGCATTGGCATGGATTAAAATACATAAGAAGTCCTATAGACTCTATGCTGTATAAAATATTAGAGGGAAATCCTGTTATATGCCTCTAAACTTTTGATTTGTTACTGTTTTATTTGGCAAAGAGGAGAAAAAAAAATTATAATCTTGGTCAGTATTTAAACCAAAGTAAAATGGGGGAAAAACCAAAGTGATTTGTTTTGCATGGCTAAGCCATTATGTTATCTCTGTAAATATTGTGATTTTTTTTTTCTTTTTAGAATTTTGTTAAAAAAATTCTAAAATTTTTAAACACCTGTTTTTCCAAAATAAAACGTGAACACACAAAGCAGTTACTTTATATACAAATATATCTTTTTTTTCTTTTCGTGCGAGAACACTGCCAAGTGATAACACGTTTTTTTTAACAAATCACAGTGGGCGTGACTCTAAACAGGAAAAAGTTGCAACAGAATACTGGGAAGGAGTATGCAAAAATCAACTGTCTGTTTATAACACTACAAATAGTTTTTAAACACAGAGAAGAAACCTCCAAAGATCATCAGGGAAAGCATAGGGAAAGGTTGAAAATGTTCGTACCACTGTCTTGGGAGCATGGTGGAAGAAGAGAAGAACAAAAGTCCTTCGACTTCCACAGCTATGAGAAAGGAATTAGAAGACCTTCTCATCCTTTGGAATTCTGCTAGATCTCCTATGCACTTTAAATCGTCAGTCCTAGGAGCCGCGTTTTTCACTGCTCCACGTTCACTGTAGGCACGTTTCAAGAACCAAGAGCGCAAAAGAATTGATGTTTCTATCCATGCCTAAACAACAATAAAACTGAAGTATATCTTCACTTGCCTGTCTGAAATCTCACTTTGAAAGAACACACATGAATGTGAGTGGGGCACTTTACTTACCAAGCTTGTGCTGTTGCTGACTGTGATACTGCAAATATATGTCTGCAGAATCCCACTGGTGCAGAGTCCCATGAGGTCTGGGGAGTTCTGTGTGGCTGTATGGACCTTCTCTCTGAGCAGATGGTCAGGACCTAGAGAGAATCAGCACTCCCTTAAGAGAAATGTAACTGTCCCATGCTGCCTCATAGGTACCTGATACCCCCCATGAGGTTGGCATGTGTCTCCACATGCAACCTTGTTAAAAGAAACACTCTTGGAAGGACTTTTAGGGGTCCTGTTGAAATCTAATGTTGTACACCGCTCCGGTGTCAGCTTCAATTTACCACATGCAGGAAGGAAAAAAAAATCCCTCCACAGAAATGGTTTAAAACAAAAAGAGCACACAGTGGAACAAACCCAACCTCTACCTCTTGAGGTTGGGAAATTAAGACTGGTTGTGATATCTGTTCATGGCTGTACAGAAAACTGTCACTGAGCTTGGAAAAAACCAAGAGGTTGTCTGCATGGTGCAGAAGCAGCATCCTGCAAGGAGAGCCCATAGGCTTCTCAAGCCAGCCATTTTTTAAGACCCCAGAAGCAAACTACAGCTCAATGTAATAGATGAACAAAACACTAGCACAGAAACATTTGGTAATGGCATGTCCAGAAGGTGAGCCCTTCTGAAGGAACAGTGAGTGCTTGGAATCAACATGACAAAAGGCAAAGCATCAGGTGGATTTTGTACTGGGTCTGAGTCCTACAGAACAGCTTGCTTTCCAGGATTTTATGCACCTCCAACTATACTTCTTGAGTTAGCAAATGTTCAGACTGTTAACTGGTGTTAAATTCTTACCAGATTGTTTACCAGTAAAACAGACTATCCACATGCCATCATCTGTACTGCCCATGACATGCCATCATCAACCAGCAATGCGGATGGTTCAGGCAATATGTTACAACTTTCCCTGCACACAGAGTTTTCATGATGATGTTCTGCTTTGAAATACAGAGACAAGTCAGTAACTTCTAAATTGCACATTGATGACTTGAGCATAATGGAATGCTGACACGTTTCACCCATATTGGTAGCAGCCATAGAGACAAGCAAAGGTGGTGTTGTGGTTTTTTGTTTATTTTTTAAGTAATTTCTTCATGGAACTTGCAAGTTCATCTAATATCCTCAGCTGTTGCAGTTCAGTCTGATTTACTTGTACTACCACATGTAGCTGGTAGCCAGGTACTTTCCTGTTGGCTTCAAGTTTTGTGTCATTGCATGTGTGACGGTCACACATTTGCAGTTATCTCAGCTAAGATTAATGATGACATATGGAATGAGATCATGCCCTCCTGTGTCAAACACATCTGTGCAAATATTTTCTTTTGATGAAAAAGCATTTCCATCTAGGTATCTGCTTCCAAAAATTAACTGCTACAGCTTTTTTGAACTGTGTGCTCCTGCAGTCAAGATAGCCTAAGCTGTGGAGTTGGAGAGAACACAGGAGGCCCATGACTTCTGCACATTACATACCTGTGTCTCTGGAAGAGGGTGGGATCCTCGGGCTGGCAGAAACCATCTTAGCAACAGTGCTGAACAAGGGGAAACTCAGCCTTTCCTCACAGCACTTTGCTACAGGCTGAGCACACTGTAGTACTACAGGAGGGCAGGGAGCAAGGTGGAGAGGCTGAAAAACAAAATGGAACATACATACAAAAAAACCTCACCACCACACATTAAAAAGTGCTTCATGTGTCACGCAGCACACACATTTAACAATTTGTTTCAAATTGTCAGAATCAGTAGCTAAGTTTATTACTTATTATCTAATTACATCAAAATCAATTTATTAACTAAGATCAACTCCAGCCAGACAGCCACTCACTATCAGCCACTCGGTTCTTTGAAAGTCCTGTAATTTGCACATTTTTCTAAATAGAAATATTTACTCTGTTAGCAGCAAAGCACTCACTTTGATGTAGTAATGAATTTCAGCTTGAAAAGGTAGAGACTAAGTATTATGAAATTTTGTTCCTTAATCAGAAAACAGTAATGTACCTCCACCATGTGTCCTCATCCCCAAATATTTTTCTTGTTCTCATGTTTTCATCTGATGTGCAGAGAAGGCCTGTGCAGTCCTGCATGTCCTGTCCTAGTGCTTTCTCTCATCTCCTGTGATGTGCAGATTGATTCCCAGCTGCCCTCACCGTCACTTGTTTTTTTGTAGGACAGATTATTTTTTTGGCTCGCCCTCCTCCTCCCACTCACACAACAACACATAACATAAAATAAATGGCATGCAGGAATTTTCACCCTGGAATGTCAGCACAAGCACTGTGTTTAAGGACATATCTTTTTTCATGTGTTTCAGCTCATACAGCTGTGATACAAGGACTATTGCAGACTGCCCAGTCCTGTGCTTGAGAGGGACTTGAGGAGAAAGGCAGCATCCTACTGCTTTAAGAACAGATCCAGTTTACTTTAAAGTCATTTCCATCCATTTACTTTCTCACCTTTAAAACTTTCTCTGTCTTTTAGTCCAAACCTGGTCCAAAGAAGGGCAACAAGGCTTGCAAAGAGCTTGGAGAATGTGCCCTATGAGGAGAGACTGAAGGAACTGGGGCTGTTTAGCCTGGGGAAGAGGAGGCTGAGGGGAGACCTTATTGCTCTCTTCCAATATCTGAAAGGTGCTTACAGTGAGAGCAGGATTGGTCTCTTCTCACTTGTGACAGGATGAGGGGAAATGGCCTCAAGTTGTGCCAGGGTAAGTTTAGGTTGGATATCAGGAAAACCTTCTTTACAGAAAGGGTTGTTAAGCACTGGAATAGGCTCCCCAGGGAGGTGGTTGAGTCACCATCCCTGGATGTATTTAAAAACCATTGGATGTGGTGCTCAGGGACATGATTTGGCAGACGATTGTTAGAGTTAGGGTAGTATGGTTAGGTTGTGGTTGGACTCAATGATCTTTAAAGTCTTTTTCAAGCTGAGCAATTCTATGATTCCAACCTCACTCAGAAAAACACTGTGTAATGCAGTTCACATTAAAACAGGTGAACTGCAAATCCAGAAGAGGCGCAATGCCTCTGTGACCTCAAACCTGCACCATCTCTCCAGATCCTTTTTTCCCCTCACAGGGTTCTCACCAAAGCAGGGAAGTAACCACTGCACAAGTACATCACTGATGGCAATTTGAGTTCCCCAGAGCTAGCGAGCAAACACACACACTCAGATGGTGTTGCAATTGTTTGATCATATCTACGCACCAGCTCTGAGATTTCAATACCATTTGCAGCTGTCAGAAGATGGGCGAGCCCAGTGCTGCCAACAGAGTGCATTTGAAAGGAAGAGAGTAATTGAATCTAAATTCAGGAAATGAAATGAATTAAAGAATCGAACAAAACCTCATATAGATAAAATATTTCCGCAAATTCAATTTCAGCATTGTTGATATAAAAGCGCTCTCTGTTTTTATTAATGCAAACAAAGAAATATCACGCTCATTTCCTTGAGAGTAAAGAAAGTAAACAGAGACAAATGCAAGTGGTCAAAGCAAAAGAAACAGGATGGGGGAATCAGACCAGACAGACTTTATGTGATGATAAAACTGGAGTTACTGAGATTACCAGTGGGTAGAATAACACAATTCCAATTATACATGCAGCGCCTTTCTAACCCCAACTTGCTGTACATGGAAGGAATTCATTTTGCAGCACAGTCCAGTTTTGCTGCATGTCTTCATAGAATCGTAGAATGGCTTGGGTTGGAAGGGACCTCAAGGATCACCAAGCTCCAACCCTATTGCCACATGCAGGGCCACCAACCTCCACACTTCATACTAGACCAAGCTGCTCAGGGCCCCATCCACACCTCAGGGACAGGGCACCCTCAGCCTTTCTGGGCAGCCTGTTCCAGCACCTCCCCACTTTTGGTAAAGAACGTCTTCTGCTAAGTGCCAGGTCCCGTGTTTTCCTAATTCAAAATATACATTGCTGAACCACAGCTGTGAGAAAGCAGATTTTTTCCCTGAGATTTCTGTCAGGTAAGGGTGACAAGTTTAGCAACCAGAGCTGGCAGTAGTGAGAAGCTCTTCAAAAGAGTGATATTCATGGACCACCTCCTTCTGCACTGTTGCTGGCCTGAGAAATCAGTCATCTGGTCTTTCAAAAAAGGGGTGAGAGAGAGAAAGAAAGGGTGAAGTTACACAGAATTAAGAGCATAACTCACTGAAAGTGCAAAATCTTTCAAGAAACGTAAAAAAAAAAAAAAGAAAAAAGAAAAAAGAAAATGGAGATGATAACGTTGCTGTGATCACAGCCTTTAATGATATACTGTAAGTGCAGCGTTCCATCCACATGCTGTCTCTGATGCTCTCTCTGGAGTGCTTATTTAAACATTTGCTCTCCGTTATCTATACACTTTGCTACATTTACACTAGCTGTATGATGCTAATAGCTATCCCCAGGAACAGATCTGCACCCAACACAGACAGGCATCCCTTATAAAGCCGCTAGCCTCAGTGGCCCTTTATCTCCAATGAAGGAAGACATCGAATCTTTTCACGCTGCTCCATAGGGAGCAATTCTTAGCATCGGGCAGAGGTAAAAGTAACAAAACATTCATCTAGTTCTAGTTGCAGCAAGACAGAGATATAAACACTGAAATGTAACTTTAACCATTATGGAAAGTGTGCAGGCAGTTGGGATTAAGCAGGATATATTTGCTTCCTGAATAGTCGGCAAGGTCTGAGAGCTGAAGCAGCAGAAGCAGCAGAAGCAGCTGGAGCAGCCCTTGCTGAGGCACAGCCCAGCCCTTTCCCAGCACCAGATACCAAGAGAATATGTTAAACATTTTCACTTCTCCATTCAGCAAAGTTCAACTCAGGGTCCAGAAATAGACTGTGTGGAAAAAAAGCTGCCTCGTGACCTGTGCAGAAGGTTGAAGCCTGTTCAGGTCCAGGACTGTGACCAAACACAAACAGTTAGGCTTTTCCACACATACCTAAGACTGCTTTTGTTACAATAATTTGGTTTTCAGAGTAAAATACATTTACATAAATTTACATGTGAAAAGTACTCAAATGTGTTTAAAGGTATTATTAACCAATAAACCTATTAATGCATTTGGTTCTTTCACCCAGCTGGATCTTGACACCAGACAACATGAGTATGATAAGTATTCCAGCGTAAAAATGCATTATTTGCCATCCCCTGTGAATCTGCCTGGAACACAAGGCATGGCGTTTCCTGCTGGCAGGGCATGTGGAAGAGGCATGGAAAAAAAACAAAAAAAAAACAAAAAAAAACAGGGAACAAGGCTACATTAAACAGCAAAAGCAACAGAATTTCTGTTTGGGAAAACATCCTCTCTGTTTCCACCATCCTGAAGAGAATTTTGGTATGAAAATGTCACACCAGCACACTCATTTTGTTTTACTGATGCTGACTCACTACTACTACGTTCTAGCTAATTCAAAAGCCAACACAGCAGGACAGAGGAGGTCAGAGAGGAAGTGTCAAAAACCAAGGAACCAAGATGGAACAAATAACGAAGTTACTCAGAACACATTGATGCTGACCAACAATCACTAGGAAAGATACAAAGGAAGTTAGATGAGGGACAAGAGTTCTCTGAAAAACAAAGTAAAGCAATATCTGAAGATTTCACAGGGGAAAAATGTGAGGTTAGCCAGGAAAAAAAAAAAAAAAAAAAAAAAAAAAGCACTGCAATAGTAGCTATAAAGATGATTATAAAATTTCCCATAAAAATTTGCAAAGGAAACCAAACAGGCACCATAATATGAAACAAACCTGAACCAAAGAAATGTACCAAGGTGTACAAGAGACTGAAACAGTTTTGACTGTGTAGAAATTGGTGAGCGACAACTGGGATCTAACGAAGCCTTATTTTAAATACATCACCTTTAAGCAGGGATTCAAACCTAAATAACTAATAAGCAGACTGCTGTTACCAATTTATATTATTTGGCTTGCTGTTAGACAAAATTACAAGGCTACTTCTCATTTCTAAATGCTGTCATCTGCACAGAACTACTGAAATATACATCTGTCACTCTTCTCCCCACACCATTTAACATTAGGATGCAATTTATCCTCTTTGGTCTTCCCATACTATTCCAGGCCATTCTAAAGCAGATTTGACATATTGTCCAGAAAGGTTCCTATGGGTTCCCTTCAGCATCCCAGTGACCTTCAGTCTGTGTGACACCACCATCTGTGGAAGTTCATACTCCCAACAGCTGGAACATCTACTCACCTTTATTCTTTATCTGACTTTTTATCAGATTTTCCTTTCTTTCCACTTCTGAGCACATCTTCTTTGCTCACCTTATGCCTCTTTATCTATGCCCAGTCTTCTCCCACATACACAACTTGCTCCCATTACATCTTTCCCTTCGGTCCCAAATAGTTCACAGCATGGTGTGAGGTTACATGCTCTTTAAGACAAAATATGGCTTAAGCCTTGAAGACCACTACCTCATTCCCCTCATTCCAGTTAAATATAAGCACTTTTCTATATACTGCACGAAGAGTGTGCATAGGACTGTTTCCACTCTCAGACACCATCCTGTTCTCAATCAGATGGTGGATTGCATAGCACTGCCCCTGATATGCTCTTTGTAACAATCTGGGGCTTCCTGCAGAGCCCTTAGAATAGGAAACA